TAGTCCTGGCATGGGAATATTCCAACGTTCCACATTAAATTTTTGATACTTAGCCTGTCATCTTCTCCTTGGTTGGCTGTGCTGCACCATTGTCTGTCCTTAGGAATAATGCATCAAGCTATTAATCCTTCATATACCAATGGCTCTTATCATACAGTACAACTTGTTTTCTCTTGATAAACATTAACTGAGAACTAAGTGTTGTGTACTTTATACTATGAATAGTATTATGTTATTTTACAGAAGCAGATACAGAAAAGTGGAATAACACAGGCAATGCTTTATTATTTAAGACTACCTATAGCATGCCACTTAAGTTATTTTCTTGCTCTGAAAACCTTACAATCTTCTTATAACATGTTACAAGAGGCAGGATTATAAAAGCTTTAAAAAACCAAAAAAAGCAGGGTAAGGTCTTAGAATTGTACGAACTCATGATTTGCACAACTCTGACGTATTCCACCAACATTGCCTCTGTAACTCAGCAGGTAGAACTCTGTAAAGAGCATTCTCAAAAGCATCACTGTACACAATGAACACAAAAATGCTTGATCCTTCTTAAACATGAACCTTATCTGTTATTTACAAATGGATAATATATATATAAGCTATTTCTGTTCTGTTACCCTCTGCTGCGACCGAAGAGACATAGCCCCCCTCAATTGCATTAAAGCCTCATAGCAGCAAGTAAAATGGATCTTTCAACCATGCAGACATAATTGCATCCAGCCTTATGTCTTTGCCTTCAAGGGGAGCAGTTGCTAGAGCAGTTCTTAAAAGCCGGCAACATAATATCCTCCATTGCATTTGTGCACAGCTGCGTAAGCCTTGATGTCCACACAGAATGTATAAGTGGTGATAAAGGACTTTTCCTGTTATGGCTATTTGTGCCAGCAGGATGCCTAGTGTGTAAAGAAAGATAGAGTTTACACCTGGCATAGATAGTTATAGAATCATAGAATGGCATAGGCTGGAAGGGACCTTAGAGATCATCTAATCCAACCTCCCTGTCATGGGCAGAGACGCCTCTCAACTAGACCAGGCTACTCAAGGCTCTGTCCAACCTGGCCTTGAACACCTGCAGGGAGGGGGCATCCACAACTTCTCTGGGCAATATATTCCAAAGTCTTACTACCCTCGTACTGAAGAATTTCTTCCTAAGATCTAATCCAAATCTGTTCTCCTTCAACTTAAATCCATTTCCCCTTGTCCTATCAGTGGACACTCTTGTAAAAAGTCCCTCTCCAGCCTTCCTATAGGTTCCCTTCAGGTATTGGAAGGCAGCTATTAGGTCCCCCCAAACTCTTCTCTTTTCAAGGCTGAACAATCCCAGCTCCTGCAACCTGTCCTCGTAGCAGAGGTGCTCCAGCCCCTGGATCATCTTTGTGGCCCTCCTCTGAACACGCTCCAACAAATCTATGTCTCTCTTATGGTGGGGACACCAGAACTGGACACAGTATTTGAGGTGGGGTCTCACAAGAGCAGAGAAAAGGGGAAGAATCACCTCTCTTGACCTACTGACCACGCTTCTCTTGATACATCCCAGGATGCAGTTGGCCTTCTGGGCCACATGAGCGCACTGCCAGCTCATGTTGAGCTTCTCATCTATAAACATCCCCAAATCCTTCTCTTCAGGGCTACTCTCAACCCACTCTGCCCAGTTTGTATTTGTGTCTAGGATTGGCCTGACCCAGGTGAAGGACCTTGCATTTTGACTTGTTGAAGCTCATGCAGTTTGCACTGGCCCAATTCTCAAGCCTATCAAGGTCCCTCTGGATGGCATCTCTTCCCTCAAGTGAGTCCACGGCACCACACAACTTGGTGTCATCGGCACACTTACTGAGGGTACACTCAATGCCGTCATCCATATCGCTGACAAAGATGTTGAACAGCACTGGACCCAGAACAGACCCCTGAGGGACACCGTTTGACACTGGTCTCCACGTAGACATCGCATCATTGACCACAACTCTTTGAGTGCTACCATCCAGTCAGTTCTTTATCCACCGAGTGGTCCATCTATCAAATCCGTGTCTCTCCATTTTAGAGACAAGGATGTCATGTGGGACAGTGTCAAACGCCTTGCACAACACCTAGTCGTTTGGAACTTAGATATATATTTTTTCTGGGTTTACTCTAAAGTTTATTTAGCCACCTAGGGAAATGTTGAGGTTGAAAAACACGTACCTCAGGATGTTATGTAAGTAGATGGATAGGCAGCAGCCTTTTGGGAGTTTTGAGGACCTGCATTTTCGCAGTTAGATGTATGGGTGTGGTTCAGTGGCTTTTTGTGTTTAAATCCTTTAGTTTATCCAGTCCAAAGTCTGTTAGCAACAAACAGTACTTGACTTCAAACTTGACGCTTCCCTTAATCACTAGAGGAAGATACATCCATTTGTGTCTGTCTGAGTTACTGTAAAGTTGGATCTGCTTGCTTTACATATTTATTTGTGATCATGGATACAAACTGCCACTGAATTACAGTCAAAGAGTCAGGCCCTGATGGTATTTCTACCCTTTGCAGGAAGAACTGGGACCTAACACACAATGCCAGTGCAGAGCTCTAGTGGCAGGTCTCTGATTTACTGTAAGTGCTCTATCAAAAATTTTTCACTTAGAACTAGTGACAGACACATTCATGGAATTATGAATTCTAAAAGTAATTGTTTCCATTTAAGACACTCATGCTTGAAAAGTTGTATACTTAAGACCATAAATCAGATAACCTTCTGTGTGTGTTTAGCAGAGTATTCTTACAATATCTTGACACACATCTTAGTTAATTAAGTGTTGTAATTAGAACAAGTGCAGGAAACAAGCAGAATTACTCAAGGCTAATTGGATGAACTTGATCCTAAATACAAAAACACTACAAAGTTTAGGCAGTATTTAAGCCCTCAAATAATACAACACAATTTTGGTACAAATCAAGCTGATGAGGATGAATTACTATATTTTGTACTACTTGGCATCGTGTGGTTGTATCAGCTCTGGTATCAGCTACAGTAGCAATTTTCAAGCTGCGTATAAGATAAAATGAGAGTTGTCTTGTTCTGTGTTTCTGATAGACTCAATGTCCAGTCTAGAAACGACATTGCGTACAAACAAACTAGGAGAAACAACTCCTCATCGTACTATGGCAGATAACAAGGAAAAAAAGGAAGCAGAAATCCAGTTGAAAGAAGTGAAAAATGCCTTGCCAGGTAATTGAGGAAGATACAAAAAGTAATTGCACATGAACTCTCTTTCTCTCTGAGATATACAGGTTCTGCCCAGAATTAGAAGGGTGGCTGCATCAAAACAGCTTCTGTCCTAAGACTCTGCACACAAGAATTTAAGTCCGAACTTGAAGTTTTGCCATTGATTTCTGTGCACCCAGCTCATGGCAAGGGATTAACTCTCATTTCTGCCAGCTGAGGTTATCATCTTGTTTCCAGATATTCTGTTCAACTTCCATATTGCCTGTCAGACCACAGCATGGAAAGAATTTTTTCCTCACCCAGCTGCTTACCAGCTTGTCTAATCAGAGAACTTCCAGCTAAGGAATTTCTAGCTGTCTGCATAACAATACATCAGATAGCTTCAACTCAGTGCAAACCCATTGACTACAATGAGTAATGGCTGCTTATTGTAGCATAATTCAGACTGGAAATTAACTCATTAATTAGTTAAGATTAGTTTAACAACTCAGGATGGAATGTGCTTTCGTATTTCTTTAGCATTGGCCTGGCTGGTCTCCTTTTTACTCTTGCTGCCTTCTTTTTCAATCTATTTCTCAGTATGGGCTTCTTGGACATACCTACTTCTTGGTTTCTCAGTAGTCATTGAGCAATATCTCTGGCTCTAGAGGTTAAAATGTGTTTATGGTTTGCAGGTTTTGTGGACAGAGACTAAAAATACCACAGATGTGAAAAAACATGACCCTCACTTTAGTAGAGCAATTGACAATACCAATTTACATGTAGCTTGGCTTCGGCATGACCTGGATTCCACTTGTGCACTTCCATTGACCTTCTACTGATTAGTTGGCATTTCAGCTCCATCTCTGTTGTTGATGCCAGCAAGTGGAACTGGTATCTGACATCTGGTTTCAGATCTGACAAACGGTTTCCACAAATGTGTTATCATGCCTGTTCTGACCTTCTGAATGAGACACTTTGCAATTAAAGCACCAAGGAGCTGCTGAAGCAGAAGTGACATCTTGCTACTAAGACCTGAAACAACTCTAACAATCCAGCTGCCTTGTACCGTCATGGCATGCAGTTTTAGCATTGCAGAGCTTTGTGAGCGACAGCAACATGGACTCATTTCCATGTAGGTTTACATCTGTTTTTCACTTGCTTAAAAACAGTGCTCAACATCATCTCAATGTGTTTTAAGAGTTTAATCCACTGAGTAACATTTTCATTTGCCACCATTCCTCAATAAGTAACTGTCTTCTTTACATACCGGAGTCATTGTTCTGTGTCCCTACTTGCAGAAGCAATGGCTATTCCCAAGCCTATATGATAGAGAAGTTTCATAAACAAACATTTATATATTTACACATCTCTGTTCCACTGGTGTGTCAGCCATGCATAAAAATCTTACTAATACAGAAGAACAGAGAATCTTCTCTAATGCAACTTTTGGCAGCCTGCAGTGCTGAAACTGGAAGCTGGGGTTTCCACTGCAGCCATGGTAGAGATGTGAGCTTAGCTGACGAACCCCATGTCAGTCTACACGCAGCCACAGCTTAGTTACTGATCTGTTAGTGCAGCCATGCATATGTCAACCCAGCCTCCTCTATGTCTGTACCGTCTCAATAATGTGAACATATTGTATACTATGGGAGCTCCTGTAAACATTTATGACCTTCCTTTGCCAGTTCCTCAAAAAAAATCGGGCAGTTAAGGCTTTCTGTTCACATCCCAGCTATGACATCACCAGTTGCTTTTTATACCTACAGGTAATAATTGGTGTTTGGTGTCAGTGCATCTGTCTGAAATGTTTTCTGCTAGCTAGATAGAATTATGTCTGCAGTTCAACATCAGTGAGCCCTTGGAAATTTCAGTCTGCATGGTGGATAAAGGCAAATGATCGTATTCTTCCATTGATGCAGTTACCGAATTATGCTGGCAGCTCAGAATCAGTGACTTCACTTCTTTTTTGAAGTTGCTATTTAGGAAACCATAGATAACAGGGTTGACACAGGTGGAAGCCATAGCTACCAGGTGGCACAATGAGAAGATCAGATTGTGGTGGCAAGGTGAAATGATTTTGTAATTCCAGTCCACAATGGTGTTGAAAACATGCAGTGGTAGCCAGCAAACAGCAAAAGCAGCAACCATGGATGCTAACAACATATTTATCCGTCTCAACTGAACTGCTCGGTTGCTATATTCATTCTTCTCAAACATGTCCTTTCTCTTCTGTAGACGTAAGTAGATACGCAGGTAGCAAAGTATAATGAAGAACAGTGGGATGCAATATTGCAAGAGCAATAAAGTGGTAGTGTAGATAAGTCTGTGTTGCTCAGAAGGCCACGAGTCGATGCATATGGCCTTGTCAGAGGAAAAATTCATGATGTGTGAGAGCTGCTCATACAAATCACTAGATAAGACAGATGTGGTCAAAAAAGGCAGAGACATGAGACATGCTAAAGTCCAAATCACTCCAATTCCTAGATAGGCTTGGGAGATACTTGGCCTCCAGCCAGTTGGGTTTATGATGAGCTGGTGTCTTTCCAGAGCGATAAGGACAAGAGAAAGAATTGACACTGTCACAGATGTGCACTGAGTGAAAGAGGTCATTTTGCACATTACTTCCCCAAATATCCAGTAGTCCATCATGGTGTAAACAACGGTGAAAGGCAGACAGACAAGACACATAAATAAATCTGAAATTATTAAGTTGGAAATTAGGATGTTGGTGACGTTGGCCTTTTCCTTCTGCCTGGCGATGACAGCAATCAGACAAATGTTTCCCACAATGCCTAGGACAGCCTCCAAGCTGTAAGAGGTGGCCAGAAAGACAGTAAGGTCGGTGATGTTCCTGCACTGATTAGAAATGTGCACAGGGAAGCTTCGGTTTGAGCTCCAGTTCCTACTGTTCAGGAAAGGAAAACCATCATCAACAGCCCTTGTCTTATTCATCCTGAACCCAAAATATTTGTCCAAAAAGGTGATAGTCAAACAGAATCTGGGTCTTCTGGAGCCAGCCTAAAAAAGGTTTTGTGTGTTCTGTTTGGCTGTGGAAGACCTGGGTATATCTGCAAAAGAAAGGAAAAAAGATTGCTTAAGTTATGCTACAAGAAATTAGTCAAGAGAGTAGAGTGGGAGACAGAGAAGCAAATGCCAGGGATTCTGTGTATATTCTGCAGCTCCCTTTCATATAGTTTATTAGATCATAAAATGAAACCTTTTGCCAAACTGTGGTATGGAGACCTGTGCAACTCTATTGAATTATGACTGTGTTCACTTGTCATGAGGTTGTCCCATGGATTTAAGAGCATCTTAACTTTGTCATTTAACTCAGTGCAGTATCTTGAACATCACTAATGCAGTAGAGTGGTGATTCAAGAAAGCTGGATCAAAACACACTTGGGGGTAAAAATTGTATGTAATTCTGGTTCTGATCCAAAACTGAGTGGAAGACACATTGTGGGGCTGCATTTACCTTCAATTGAGCTAATCATCAATGTGAAAAGTAAGGCATTTTAGGTGCATAAAGACAACACTAAATTATCTTATGTGAATTAATCTGTGAAATGCATTTGTGATTGCAGCTGGAACCCACATTTTCTTGAGACAACCACCATGCAAAAATTCAGTCTCATATCCTCAGGAGGGATAATATGAGACAATTCTGAAAAAGTCTAAAATAATTCAAACTAATGTCAACATTTTTCAGCTTCTGCACAGCTGTGATAAGTCATGGGAACGCAAGTCCAAGTTCCCTGCCTTCCCATTCTGGATGAGCTCCAGTGCCCATGAAGCATTGATGTCTCCCTCTGGGTGGTTAATGTGGCCATCACAGAGTTTATCAGAAATATGGTCCAGTCTCCTGATTTTGGCTTTAAGAGTGGGCGATTTTGACAACATCTCTGAATTCCTTGTGGGAAGCTTTTTATTGACTCTCCTTCAGCATAATTTTGCTTTTTTTAAGCAAGAGAATTCAAGTGTTGTAATAGTATGTGCTATCTCTTGGATACTGTTCCTGCACAGACAGATGGGTCTGCTTAACCACTGCTGCAAGCCCTGAGCTGGGATTTTCAATTGTGTCTCGGAAAGCTGAACCCACAGAGTTAATTTGAGCTGCACACTTTTGGAAATCTCAGCCATATGACTGCCTGGACTCTACCAGGTAGCTCATGAGAGGTTGTTGTGATCTGCCATAGCAGAGTCTGTGTTATAATCCTGATCCTGGAGTCCAAATCCTCTATGTCCAGGAATCAAAGGAAAAAAGATCTGACTCTGCTGGCAGTTCTCCTCAGGCCAGAGGCAGTTCCATGCTGTACTAAGGCTTGTAATGTGAAAAGTAAACTATTTGCCCATTGCATGGCCCTTTCCTCAGCAATAAAATGCCACTCAAACGAATTTATGGGGTTGTGAAAAACTTCTGAGCTTCATAAAAACAAGTGTTCAAGATATGAAAACATAAATAAAATAGTATAGTGAGCTTATCATTTTGAGTAGCATTTACTGTTGAGCAACTGCATGCATAAAGGTAACCAGTACTGTACAAAAAAGTGCCTACCATCCTACGATTTTTTGTTTCTCTTGTCTTTCTCTTTATGAATTGTATTACATGCTTCTAGAGATGTTGCCTCTCAGGAACTAATGAAAGCAATAGTGTACAGTAAATAAAAAGATGTTTTGTGATCATTGTTCTGCTTGAGCAGCAAAAATTAGTACAATCAATTCTTTTGTTGCTTTGCTAGACCTGTTGATTTATCTATCTGTATCTATCTACATCTATCTGTAATCTATTTGTATCCATCTGTCTGAGACAATCAAAACACTCACAGGAGTAAAATATAGTAATCTTTTCTTCCTCTTATTCTTTTATTTCCTCAGTAGTTTAAATCTTAATTAAAGAGGGCAAAGGAAATTTCCCAATTTGCGGACATAGGTGTGACTCTTCCTGTCCACTCACTTCAGTGTTTTCACTCAGCTCATGTGAGCAGATCGATTTATTTTCTGGAACTAAAAGAAAAGGCAATGATGATGAGCGGATTGCACAATCACATATGGAGAGGGTATGGTGGTCTGTTCCAGTGTGAAAATAGATATAAAATGAAAAATCATCAACCAGCCCCTTAGCTTTTAATGACTGCTGGCCAGTGGAGATGCTACAAATGAAATAGAGCAAAGGGATCAGCAGCCTGCAATATTGTTTGGTACCAGTCAAAGGAGTTCAGTCTTGGCATTTGGACAGGATAAACAGACTCTGCTGTAAACGAACATGTGAGGTTTTTACTACAGTCCCAGGCTAGTGTCCTTAGCTACAGTATCCTCGACAACAAACACGTTTCTCTTCTGTTGCTTGAAAAATGTGTGTTATTACAAACAACTGTGCTCCACAGAGTAAGCTGATTCAAGGGTCCTAGACACTTCTGGACATGCTGAGGTGTCAGTGAGGGAACTAATACTGTTGAAGAGAAAAAAAGAAAGTAGTGGAGCCACCTGAAAAGCAGAAGCCACATCCCACAGCTTTAAGGGGCAAATTCTCAAGAGGAATGCCAAAAGCAGAACGCGGCTGTGCAGTTGACACAGTTGGCAAACATGGTGAGGATAAAGAGGCATCTCCAAAGGCTCTGCAATGCGTTTGGTTGGGTTAGAAGCTCCCTTTGTTTTAACACCTTGCATTCCATGTTGTCTCCCACAAGATGATTGTCAAGCACTTCCTGGGCATACATTCTCCTGGTACTGCCCAGTAGCAAATAAGGAATTACCACCCTCTTATCACAGATAAGGTGACCGAGAGAGGGAGGTGAGACATGAGTTGTCCAGTGTGTCAAGGGAACCTGTGGTGCACTGTGCAGGACTTAAAACTGCCTGCCAACCTGATGTCTTGTGAAAAATCAGAGTCTAGATCACCTAGGTCCATAGTTCCCTGTATCTCTTATTCCAGCAACCATAATGTAAACAGCAGTTCTAGAAAAATAGAAGAATGTGTGTTGCACTGACCTTATACTTATGTATCCTATCATGCTATCCTTGGATGGCAGACTCTCAAGGTCAGTGTCGTGGGTTAGGCTGATCCGGCAACTAAACCCACGCAGCTCTCCCAGTCCAGTAAAATGGAGAGTCACTGCCAAATGCTGTGTTATCTCTAAGTGTTTGACTGCCATTCAGTTTGGTCTAAATGAAGAGCCAGTAATAAGCAATATCTACTTACTCTGTTTAGATATTTGAATCAAATGTTAGCTAATATACTGAATCACCAACGCAGTTGGAAAAAAGATGTTAGACCACCCACTGTATCGAAGGTTTGTTGATTGTCTAGTAAAATATAGCAAAAACTTCATAGGCAAAAAAAACCAGCTTTTGTCTTCAGAAAGTGAAGCAACACTTACTTGGCTTGTAGGAGTAAGAAGCATGCCTCCTAAATTAGCTTGCAGAGGGATTGGAGCGAAAAATTGTATCGTTTTTATTTGCTTGTTTGTTTTTAAAGAAGAAAGAGTAATCCTGTTCAGAACCTTAATGAACTTCAGGAAAGAGATCCGTAACAAAAGCTAACATGCTCAAAAAGCAAGGGTTTTCTTCTCTGATGCAGCATGAGATAGTTTCTCTAAAAAGTAAGTGTCACAAAAGTCTGCAGCAAGTTAACAGGATACAGAAGGAAAAAGACAAAGAGCTTTCAGATTTAGTGTAAGTTAAATTCTTCACATGCGTCTTTTATAGACATTCATCGCTGTGCTGTCCATGTTGGAAGCAAGGAAAAAGAGCAGGTAAGGTTTGAAGGATTTGTCCT